AAAAAAAAAAAAAAAGCATATTCAGATTTCTGTTCATGGTTCTATAGAAACCTTCCTGCTTTTCAGATCATTAGCAGTAATCAGGTATTATTGTATATTGCTGGCTTAGCTTTTCCAATTCAACATTATCATTGAAGTAGTCCTAGTAGTAAATGACATTCCAATAATTCACTTGCCCTTTCTCCCAGTTTGAGTAAAAAGATACCACAATAGTTGTAGTGGCCACTAGGGGTATCCGGTGTGTTTCCACATCAAAGTAGATTGTGTGGCAGAAGTCTGCTATAGCTGTTCTGGATAAAATATAGTCATAGAATAATATCATTTGTGTTTCTGTCACATTGTATTCTATATTTCCACCAAAACAAGAGGAATTTATCTGCACAGAATTTTTAAGTTGGAACAAGGGGGAAGGAGAGATGTTTAAAAATCCTTAATTTTTTTCCTGTATGAAACATAAATATCCTTTGAAAATATTAAACATTATGTTTTACTTCTTTCTATTTCTAGTTCCTACCCTCGTGGCATCTACTTACCATTATGTAGGTCAATAAACCCCAAATTACCTTTACAATGTTCTCACACTACTTTTTTCCCAAAGCATGATCACATTTTATATGGAAGAGCCTAATTTTATGTGGAAGAGCACCACTGCTGTAAGGCTTAATAGAAAACAGTAGATCACATAATAGGTGTAATACTCCAAGTGGACTTGTCCCATCACCCTATCCCCATTTTAGTGTATCGGTAGAGCCTATTATACTTGTTTACCATATGAATTGATGTATATGGTACAATACAGCTTACACTGTAGGATTCCATTTGCATAAAGTACTAAAACAGGTAAAATTAATCTATGCTGTTAGAATAGTTTCCTTAAATGTCAAGAAATGTTTTCAGAGACTACTTCTAATTATCTAATTGAATTTCTGTACAGTAAGGAAACTATTCTAACAAGAAAGACAGTATCAAAAAATTGCCTGAGATAGAAAAATAGTAAGGGCTGTGGTGAATGTTCACAAAGCAGATAAGCAAGAAGACATATAAATGATTACTGGTTCACTACACAGAGTGAGTTAGCATAGTTCTATGAACTGATAAATATGAGAATAACTGAGTCACTTCAGTTATTTGTGTGAACCAAGTGAATGTACATATCCAAAGACTGGAAACAGCTAAAAACTGTCACCAAATTTTTATAAAGCAGAAGGTGCTGAATTGCAAAAGCAGTAGAAGAATCTGATTTGTAATTTATTAGATATATCATGTGGAAGTATAAATTAACACTTTGGATAACTAACTAAGGCAAGGAAATATAAAGAAACATACATTATGCAGACTTGGTAATATCCAGCTAACTGTAGGTAGCTTTTTGTAGTATTTTTCTAGGTTCTCATTTATATGCAGAGGAGCCAGCTCCTTATGGAAGTTAAGTATGGAGAACAAGGAAACAAGATTTTCAATAAAAAAGTCTGAGAAGAAGTTTGTTTTCCATTTCTAGGTTTCCAGAAACAGTGCTATAGACCAGGCCAAGGGATTCTATTTCCCCTTGGTCTGTTTTTTTACATCTCTTCCCACCAGATCTTAAGCATTTCAAGGAGTCTAGACAGACTCTGGGCAAAACTAAAAATTAATTCAAGATTGTTTTTAGTTCTCCCTACTGCCGTTCAGATTTCACATCTTGCATTCCGCAAGGTAATTTCCTTCTCATCTATGCCCACAAACCTCACCACAAAAAGGCCTCTCACCTCAGTACCCTACCCAACACTGCTATAACTAAAATTACACTCTTCCATTAATTCTACTTTCCATCAAAGCATCCCTTCTTTCAAAGTAGCTAATCTTAGGTAAGTAAGGAGAAAAGTTTTATCATTAAATAAATTTACTGTTAAGTGAATTCCTTTGAAGTATTATTTGCACCTTCAAAAAGAACACTAGTTAATCCCAAAGAGTCTCAATTTTATGTACCTACAAGCAGTAATATGAAATGGAGAATTAGTTTTCAAAATAATC